ATTGGACTTTGCTTTGAGACATAACTTTATCACGACTACGTGTTAGATCAAGAAAAAAAATTGACACATACATATTACGGTTCACGATAATATATTAAAACGATACATTTCCAAGTATATACTTTTCATAATCATTCAAAAATAAGACACTTGAATCATATGTCTGAGGAAATAATGCGATAATATCGAGTTATTTATATAGATAAAAGCAGTTTATTATAATAAGAACAAACAGTATAAATTTTCCGCACTTTCGTAACGTCATAAAAATATGTACATTAGCAGGTGAACTTTATATTTTACCATTTTATTTTTCTAAAGAGAAGAAAAATAGAAAAAATCAAAAAGTTAGAGATAAAAATAGAAAATATTATATTTGTAAATATTTTATTATTGATTAAATATATTTATAACGTAGAGACTCTTCCTCTTACTTCCAAAAAGAAATCTGTCATACATATAATATATACATTTATTACTAACATCTTATACATAGACATATATATCGATTGGTGTAATGTTATATCTCATATCTTTTATTTTTATTTTTCTAAAAAGAAAAAATAGAAAAAATCAAATAGTTGAAGTTAAAAATATAATATATTTTGTAATTGATATTGAATATAAAAGATAACGTGGAGATTCTCTTCATAAGAAAAATCTGTCTATACATATTATATATATATATATATTCATATACATATAGTATTATCGCTTTATTGTGTCTGTTCCAATGACTTAGCTATGTTGATGATAGATTATTAGTATTATTTATTAGCATTACGAAAGAAGAGCTTAAGTCGACAACGGAGAAAGATGTCACAATGTTTGGATACTTGATATTGTCATATTTCCGATCCGATTCCAAGAAAGCAGTGATTGATTAAAGATTATTCACTACCTGACGTGCAATATATTTTGTTTATGAATCAAAAAGCATCGACATTCTAAATATTTACGTAGGTGAATCATTTTACTCTTTTAATGCTCCATGTTAATTAATCTATATTTAGTAGTTAAAGAGGGAAATTATATAAAATGAATCTCGTTTTTTATCATATAACGTAATTCGATATTTTGCAAAATAAAACTAGTAATATTTATTAATTATTAATATATAATATTTTATTATATTTATATCTTTGAAATTTTGTGAGGAGTTAAAAATGAAATGAAAAGTTAAAAATGCAAGAAATTAATGTTTTATTTGTAATTCTCATTTATATACTTTATACTCTTTTATTATTAAAGTAAGAAAGCTTGTAATAATAATGTATAAGATACTGATATACATATATGTATGTATAAGAAAAATAATCACAGTGTAGATATTTATACTTTGGCTGCTTTCTATTTCGCTCGAAGAAGATAAAATCGGGAAAAAATACAGAAACAAGATAATCGCGCAATTACTTCCGGCGTTCGTCGCTACAAATCGGCCGGTCAATTTTAATCCGTACGTTCGAGCTGAAAATCGGAGACCCACAGACGGCCGGCGATTTATTTATTGGAGAAAGGGCTCCGGGGCTAGAACCCCTCTCTTTCTTTTCGTCGACGCTTCTTCTATCCTAAGCAGGATTCAATTTGGCCACTGCCCACGGTTCTACCTTCAAAGAGGAATCACCATTGCCGTCGTATATGGCTGAACGGCCCTCGACATGCGCGGGACTGGTCGGCGGCCTCTAGCATTAATCTTATATCGAACGCTTTATCTCCGCGTCGTTCGCTTCCTCGTCCCGCTTCTTCGTCCCTTCTTCCTTCTGCCTCTCCTTCCTAGCCATCACCCTCTCCATTCTCGACCTTCTCAACCCTTAGACGAGCAGGAATTTTCAATTCTTTCAAGTACCACGAGGAGTGCAGTTTGCTTGGGGCGTGTTGTTCTTCCGAGCTACTGGCTGGTACCCGGAAGCTGGAATCAGCCTTTAAGGTGTCGTAGTCGTTAAAAGAGAGGTAGGAATACGTGATTAGACAGAAAAATGTCAGATATTGAAACATGACATTTTTCAAGAAAATTTTGAATATTTTCTGATGTATGTAATTTATATTTATATTATTAGTATGCGCATAAATTTCAAAATTAATATGTAACGAATCTATATATCTGAGAATTTAATTTTTTGTTCGATTGTAAATGACCACTTTCTATTACGGCATCTCCATTTCGTTATCCTTGTTTCCACGACGTGCGATTAATCGCGCGCGTGAATGGTAGGACGTGGAAAACGAGCGGCTTCTCGCCGATCTCTCGCCGGGAACGGAGCGAGCCGCTAGCAGGACATTGGCCAGAACGAATAAGTAATGTAGAGGTCCATTATGCCGAAACGGTGAAGGGTCTCCGGTCGGGGTCAGCCAATCCCCCGGAGGGCCGTTAAAGTGAAATACTCCCGAATGCAAGGTGGCTGCCCGTCTCGCTCGCCTTCTTCAGCGACCCTGTCATGGGGTTTACCCCGTCTCTCCTCTCTCTATCAGCCCCATCTCCAGACGCGCCCTTCCACCCGCTCGGAGCCCCGACCCGCAGAAGTTTGCGTGTAGGTAAATCGTTGTTATCTGGACAGTGATAAACCCGTGAATGGAGTTCGCGCCGGATTTGGACGAAGGACGAGGGGGAATGCGAAGGCTGAAGGGAAATGGTTCTCCGCGAGGTTTATACGGCTGCGTGGAGGGGTGGAAAGGGACGAGTCCGCGCAATGGATGGCTCTGTTTATGCAGACTGGTTTCTGCTTGGACGTAGTCGCGCGACCCTCATTGGACGAGAAAGCGAGAAACGATGCTGGGGACGCGCAGATGAGGCCGATGAACGCCATGGAGTCTATAGACGGGCAAGAGAGATTGGTTGTGTCTCTTTATCTCCAAATTAGATTTCGTCAAAAAATGATGTAATTGAAAAAGATTGATTTTATATTTATCCAGTAGACAAAATAACAATAATTTATAGCACTCCTTGTATAACTCTTTCTCATTGATATATTTTTTGCGGATTTGCATAATTAAATTTTCCGAAAGTACACACGCGTCTTTACGTCGAGTTCATCGCTTTTTGTGCTACTTTCATTTGTCTCCATGGGATTGAAATCAGGCGGCCATGCAAACACTACGAGATTAAAGGAGGGCTCTGTATTGTGGTTCACGTTTTTGGATTGTAGCCTCGGGCAAGCCATTCTTGTGGAAATGACATCGAAGTGATCTTTAATATTCTCTTGAAGGGTTCAACTCGAGATATTGATAAGTCATTTAATTAGAATTTTTTACATTATTTTGTAACATAATATTATCTAATTTTCCAATTATTAATCAAAGAGATTTTAAAATAATATTTAGCAATGTTTTATTAATAATAATTTGCAGTAGGTTTTATTTTTATACGTATATTTTTTTACTAACAATAATTAAAATAAATAATATGTTAATTTTATTTTTTTATTGTGACACATATGTATTTTTATTTCGGAATTAAGTTTTCTAAGCTCGCGGCAGAGAAAAAGGAAAATCGAAATGGTTCGTATATGCGCTCGGAGCTTGTTTGAGGCGCGGAATACCGGACAATGGTCGATCTAGCGGGGTAGATGGAGGTCAGCGGCCATTCTCTGATGATATTGATTAGCCGACGCCCTTAGTTAGCGCCGGCTACACTTTCTTCAGCCCCACCGTTCTTCTCCCGCCTCCCTTTTTCCTCTCGATAGGAAAAACGTTCTCTCTTCCTTTCGCGTAACCACACAGACTCCGGTTACTACCCTCGCTCTATCTTCGTCGCTCTCCTGCATGCTGCTGCGAACCCCTCATTTCCTCCTCCGCTCATCTCTATTCTCTTTCCGTTTTTTGGTTACTGTATTTCTGTCTCTGGAACAACGCGCGTTTCACTGGTCGTCGTTAGCAGGCAGATAGAAGAACCAGGAAAGAACATTGCACTAGAGGGTGCGAGAAAGTAGAGAGGGGGAGAGGTAGGGGGGAGCTATGGGGAAAAGCTAGCTAAGTATCTCGGGCTAAATCATTCGTCAAGCAAATAATACCGAGTCTGAGTCATGTCTCACGCATGCGGGGGCGATACAGTATTCACGTGTTCCATAAATCCGAGATCCCGTCATTTATGGGGTGCTCGAAAAGACACGACATGGACATCCGGGATTTCGCACGCAACAGAACTTTGGTGAGATACAATTTATTTGCAAATGATGTCGACATGTAGATTAAATTCATACACTTAAACTTAATAAAATTCTTAAAATGATTAATAATACTTATAAATCACTTATATATTAATCGGTAACATATTAAATATAAAGATAATATTTTAAACAATCTTAATGATTGCTAAATGTAAATTTTTATTAAATGAGGCATAGATTACTGATATGTAAATTGATAAAATTTTCTATAACATAACGTACAGCCTTTCTTAAGTTTAACTTCCGATTGCGTTCGTAAATGTTCCATGGCGCATTTATAAACTTTAGCGCACCCTATATATCACCCTTACAAATTTGGGAAGAAGAGGAAGAGCTCGGTATGCCCCCGTGTAATTAGACACTGCAGCCTGGAACAACATCCAGAGCCGGGCATTGTTCCCAGAAATTAAGGGAAACGGGGGAAAACCGGGAAAGCTGGCAAGGATAGGGGATTTGGAGGGTCGCTAATTACGACGAGTCCGTTTGGGGGAGAGAAGCCATTTTCTGCACATGTATAGTCGCGTTTGTGTATGCGTTATATTAATATACGCGCGGGGCATAGAATTTATCTCGAGAGCCTTTCTCTTTTGCAATTTGATCTTCCATTCTTGATAAAATGAGATGACGGATATTTTTTTCTCGCGTTTATGAAAAATAATATTTACTCCATTTTATTATACTTTTTATTTTATATGCATATAATTACTGCGTATTTATAGGAAAATAATATATATTTATGCATAATATAATTATTATTTTATATATTTTTTTTGGGATAATTTTAGGTAACCGGTTATATACGTATATATCTAATTCCTGTTCGATCCATTTGTGCAGGTAAAGTCTGGATCGGCGACAATGAGGTCGCGTGGCGGACGGACCAGTCTTTCAAGAGGACATCACCCTTAAATCCTTGTGCCACAACGACTACCACGACGACGACAGGTGGCGGGCCACTGACACATCCCCACCTGTCGCCACCCGTAGCTGCCTCTATTACCACCCCCGATCATAGAAGCCCCAGTAGCATGCACGCGAAGCTTGGCATCTCACCCGGTGAGTAAGAAAATCCTGCGAGAAAGACAAATCTCTAATATATTTTAATTTTACGAGAGAATATTTTGTCCAATATAAACAATGTGCGTTACGCTAGAATTTTTAACGAAACATTTAACGCGAAAAAATTGTGTAGCGTTTCGGTGTTTTTTTACTTTTTCATTCGACGTCGCATTGAAGAAATAACGAATTCGCACCCTCGCGATTCATCCGTGAGAAACCTAGTTTGTGCTGTCCTCGACGGCGCTTTCACAATCGAGGGTCACTGGTTTAAAGCAATCCTAAAGCGAGGCTCTTTAAATAATACAATAAACTTAATGTCATTTGCCGGACAATCAGGGGAGGGGGAAAGAGAATTCTTTTTACGAGAAGGCTTTCTCTAGTGAAATTGCCTCTCGCATCAGGTGCGTATTTCCGACCCTCGATAAGCTATCACGACACGAAGATTCGTGACGCTTGTCTTGCTGCGTCTTTCGCAACTCGTCGATGACATAATGATTAGCAGGGCAGTTTACAACTTTGCGTGTTAAGACAAGACAAAATCGCAAAAAATCTGGAATTGAATTCGATATAAAATTACACGAAGCAGCTTTACACAATATATTATATTTAAAATTTACTTGAATTACAGCATTATATCTTCTTGTGTTTATTTATGACGAAAAGCCGAGTAATACTTTATCGATTATTTAAAAATTTTTTTTTTCGGCGCTCGATATAATACGTAGGGAAACTAGTTAATTAGTTATATTAATATAATAGCAATATATGTTATATTAAAGAAATTCTTTATGATTGGCCTATTTAATAATTTTCGGGAAGCATAGGAGATAAGAAAAGAATGCGGTCGAAGAGCAATATTTTCTTATCATTCTTAAAAGCAAATAGAAATAATACCTACCGTCGCGACGTTCTTGCATCACGATGTCTATCGATTAGCTCCGGAAGTTGCTTCTGAAAGTGATGGCCGAGAAGTAACGGAACGGCGGTTCCTTTCGTTTGCCTAAGTAAATACAGCTCGGACAACGCGAGGGGAATCGCGTTGGCCGGGGCCCGAAGCTGGCATCGGTTATATGATCGGGTCCCGGAACTCGGAAAGAAACGCTTTTCGTCTTTTCGAGACAAGCAGGGGAATTGCAATCTCGCGGGAGGGGGAAGGAAGCACTCGGCGCGGCATGTTTAATGCATCGCTCAACATTTCCATGTCAAACATCGCTTTGACTCGCGGAATTTAGAACCGTCTCGCTGCTGCACGCTCGGGATCGTATGTACGCGTGTGTGCGAGAGAGCGATGACGGGGAAACTACTCATCTTTATTTACTGGATAACCGCCGCGCTCGACGAGATGCGTTAAGTCCACGACGCGGTCGATAAGGGTCGAAACTTAAAAGCCACGAGGGTGAAACCGGAGACTGAATGAGATTCCAGAAGCGATTTTAGGAGGTAAATGACGCTTCGACGGCGTGTCGGTTTTGGCTGAGAGCATTTTGCAGCGTGAAAGAACATTAACGTCTATTTATAGAATCATTTTAAATTGTATTCGGGATTACACGATCGGCATGTAATCTTATATTTTCATATATTTCTATCGTATAATCATTCTCCGAAGAAAAACCAGAATTCACATTAATCAATTAAATGCTTAAAGTTATATATGACAAAAAATATAATTATACTTAAATAATTATACTAAAATAATATAATTATACTAAAATATAATTATATAATTATACTTTGTATCATTTATCAATAATCTAGCATGTAACTAATATAATTGTATTCATGGAAATATTTAAAAATATTTTACTTGTCAATTTTATGAAAATATTCATCAAGAAAAAATCAATTTATCTTTTCTTCAAACGTTTCGAAGGGAGACTTAACTTTTGTCGCAAACGCTGTTATCAGCATCGAGCATAGTGTCAATTTTAAGGAAGGAAAGATATTTCCCCGGACATAGGGTCCAGCCGAAGCTATTTGCCTCGCAAAGCCGTCCTGGCCTAGCTGCCAAGTGTGTTTATTCGGTATATCAATAAGGACGAAGTGGGCGAGAGCGAGGACGCGGTCCCCCGAGGACCTCGTCCTTACGTGGCGGCGATCGGCAGCGACTCTTTCTGGACAGCTTGATAACATTATGTCGCCTGCGCCGACATATGCACCGGCTAGTTTTTAAAGGACGAGGGCCGAGAGGGCTCTCCCTAAAATATTACGGGCTTGTGAACACACTCTCATAAAGACACATGTGTTACAACGACGTGTCTTTTCTCAAAAAATGACACTGCAACCCTTAAATATAAGTTTAACACACAATATATTTAGGAGAACAGTAGATAGATAAAATATAAATCACTCGTTTAGGTGACACAAGCCGATATAACGCATTTGTTGACGATTATTCTTCGCTTAGTTTCAAATGAACTTAACAGAATTTTAATCGGGAGATTAATTATGCAGATATTTCTAATGTTGAAAATTGAGGTAGTGAAAAATCATAATCTGTCTCGATATCTGACACAATTATTAAGAAATTTGTAATTAAAATAATTGACACACGTTCACTGTCCCCGATCCAAAAGAGTACTTATATGCTTAAACAGTGAACATATTAATTATGACAGTATTATATTAGTATTTTCTTTTTGAATAATCAGTAATTAACACATTCATTGTCGAATGATGTAAATATACATCTCACTGCAATCTTAAAATCACATTTAGATCAAGAACATGAACGTGTGTGTGTTAAATGTTAATAAAATAGATCTTATAAAAACATGTTAACTTTTAACGATAAAAATTGGATACAGTATTAAAAGGAGATGAATATGCAAATATTTCATAAAATAATTTTTGAAATTATTGTGTTTGCGTGACCGCATTCTATTCTTGCGTAAATTACTTGTCGATTACAAAAGAATTCTTTCTTGCTGGATAGCAAGAAGAAATTGTATTCCTCCCTTGGGACCATTATTTTTCTGCGTCGGATCGCTCTCTTTTCTACGAAGTATGTAAATTCCGTTATTCGATCGACCCTCTAGAATTATTTCAGGTTTATGAATATCACTTGAAGCATGAGAAACACACCGATGTCCACAAATGCGAAAAATTAATTATAAAATCTATCTTATATTGCAAAATTAAACGAAAATTTAGAATGCGTATTTCAAGTAATGTTTTCTCATTTGTTTCATTATTTTTTTGTGAACAGAATTTTTCATTTTGTATTCATCTAATAAATATTTATCATTTTAAAAAATGTAAAAGCTTTATTCTAAATTCTAAAATTTTTTCGCATTACACACATGGCACAGAAATTAATGGCGCTTTTTTGAAACATGCCGGCTGCGAGATTGCGTTTATATTTTCATTTCGCTGGAATATGAAATATCGAACGGTGTCCATATGCGGACCAATAACTAAGAGGCTACGTGTCGTTGGTGTACGAACGCCGCGCCGTCCACGTGAGGGTTGGGGACGAGAAAGGGTGGCTTGAAATATTGGCTACATAGATTTCTACCATTATTGTCGCGTGTAAAACACGGCGACATTTGGCGTTAAATCGATCAGGGCGCACTGTGGCGTCGCGCGCGACGCTGTTGTTTCTTCACGTCGGACGAATGAATACGCCGGATTGTATAATAAATAAAATACGGCATAAATGCCGTAAATATGTTCAACGAGACGGTCCGAGCGCCGTTTTATTGAGCGCAATCGATACCTTTGCATTTGCGCAGTTGTTTGAATAAGTTTACGAATTCATTTCAGAAATAATATTTTTACGTATAAATTTGTTTAATCTTTTATAATTGCCAATTTTTATAAAAAATATCTTTTATATAAAGCTGATGTTTTTTACTTAAGTTTGAGTGCTCTCATATTTTTTTCGATGTAACTAGTTTACTCTTTCAATATATATATATGCCAATTATAGTGAAATACCGTACTGATCTAATCGCTTATCCGCGATAAAGGCGTGCCTTTGACCATAACTGAGAACGAACGAGCGAACCGTTTAAGCAGCGTGGAGTAATTGCAGCGATAACCGAGCAGAGAACATTCGCGCGCCTTCGCCGCATTCGCCAAAAAGCAGGTGTACCGCAAATTAGCATCGAGCTGTAAACGCTTCATTCACGGACGATTCACCGTTCCGGCGGCTTGGGCGCGATAATTGAAGAGCTAATTATCTCGCATTAAAGTCAACCGCTCCGATCAAAATCCATTCGTGGGTTGAGTGCCCGCGCGTCGGAAATGCTCATTTGTCATCGTGTTCAGGTGTTCATGTCATCCGAAATTCATCGCGGCGAAATACATTATGGCTCGTCAACCTGCTCTAAAGAATTCATTAAATCGTGTGCACGTCAAGTATAAAAAAAAAATAAGATTAACGTGCGCTGTTAGAAAGTTTGAAAGAGAGTTTTTTACTAATATTTATATTTTATTATAGATTATTTTACAATTTTTTTATTACACACAGTTTTTATATAGAAGAGTTTGGCGATAAATATATCCATTCGGAAGATACATAATGAGCGGCGCTTCGAGGATTTAAAAATAAAAGTTAAAGAAATAGCTTGCCGTGGCCAAAAAAGGTACCAATTAGCCGCGAAATTTATAATAATACGCAATTTGTTATAATTAATCGGTTGTGCGCGCGCACCCGACCTCTCGCGTGCAACACACACGTATACATATATATATATATATATATGTATATATAATGCATACACATACTCTCGCGCGAACGGTCGGGCACTTTTTCAGATCATAATTTTAGATAGGCCGTTTTCTTTCTCTCTCGCCGTTCTCGCTGAGGCAAATGGCGGCGTGTAGGCAAATTGAGGTGAGATTGGAGGTCAGGATTGCACCAGCCGTTACCGCATCGCCGCTATTCACGTTGCCGGGACAGTTACAAAAACGGTTTGCAAAGCTAGCAGCTTGCTATCCGCGCGTGATCTAAGTCTAGGAAGGGCGCGATGCGTGAAAACGAGAATTAAGAGGAT